TGGTTTAGTAAAAAGTCAACCAACGAAACTCCTCCTGACACCCCGACAGCGTTTGGGGGACAGTGGTGAAGCCTCCACAGGTCAGTGCTAGGTCACACCCACGGCGGTGCTGATGACACTGCGTGGACCCCGATGTCGTCACAGCTGTCACCTGGTGCTCTGGCCGAAGCGATGCCACAGGCTGTCCATCCAGGGACGCCTACGAGGAGTCAGCGGCTCCCTCTCATCCTGGGCCCAGCGGCTACGCCAGTCCGCAGCCAGCGGAGGTGAGAGCAGGGTCCGCAGCCAGCGGAGGTGAGAGCAGGGTCCAAGGTCAAAGCCAGGACGGATCCTAATGACCCTGACCCAGCCAGTCTCTGGGCCAATCACATCGCATTTTGCTACACCCAGATGGAATCAGATTATTTACTCTGAACGGAAAGATTCCTGGCTCATCAAATTGCCCAAGCAGCCCTGATTTGGAGGATAAATTCAGGAAAGAGGCAGGCAGGCTCTGCTTCATCTACCAATCTGACACTTTGCTGTATACATAACACAAAAATAGTCTCCTAGCCCCAACTGGTGTGGCTCAGTGGATAGAGCGTCGGCCTGTGGACTGAAAGGTCCCAGATTCGATTCCAGTCAAGGACATGTGCCCGAGTTGTGGGCTTGACACCCAGTAGGGGGCGTGCAGGAGGCAGCCGATCATGGTTCTTTCTCATCATTGATGTTTCTATCTCTCTCTCCCTCGACCTTCCTCTCTGCAATCAATAAAAATATATCTATACTAATAAAAGGACAATGTACTAATTAGACCAAATGTGCCTACAGACAAAGCCACGGTGGTGGGGACTGAGGCAGAAGCGGTTAGGGGCGACCAGGCCGGCAGGGGAGGGTGGTTAGGGGTGATCAGGCCGGCAGGCAGGTGAGCAGTTAGGAGCCAGCAGTCTTCGATTGTGAGAGGGATGTCCCGGATTGGAGATGGTGCAGGCCGTGCTGAGGGACTGCTTCCCCGGCCCCCCGTGCACAAATTTCATGCATTGGGCCTCTAGTATATATATAAAATAAATAAATAGAAATAGTGCCCTAGCTGGGTAGCTCAGTTGGTTAGAGCATCGTCCTCATATCCCAAGGTTGTGGGCTCAGGCCCCGGCCAGGGCACAGACAAGCATCAACCAATGAATGTACGAATAAGTGGGACAACAAATTCTCTCCAATCAATTTTTTTTAAAATTGTAATAGAAAAACACCGCGTGTGAAACTTGCGCTTAGGAACTTATCGCTCCAAAGCTCGCTCTTTTTTCTAGGCCATGCTAATGTGAGCAGACCAGGAAGATAAATGGGCTACATAAGCTACACCGGTGACAATCAGCTCTAATCAGCTTGTCCCCGACACACAAAGCCGGATTTATGCTTTAGCACCGGAGCCGCCACAGTCCGAGCTGCTGACGCCAGGAAAAATCCTCGGGCAGAGTGGGATCCTGGGAGATAAGGGAGCGCAGAGGCCGCCTACTGCAATGCTCCCGTAACAGCGAGAAGGCCAGCTCCCAGGCTGCCATCAAAAGAAACGACAGGGAGAGCCCACTGTCCCTCTGCTTATCCGCAAAGAGACGCAGGGGTGAGAAAGTGACCTGTCTCGGGCGGTTAATGCTGTGGAGGAGGAGCAACCAGGTTTTTCTAATCGGCTCAAGCACTGGGATTCTCCATTATATCCTGTCTATTTTCACTTGACACTTGCATCTGACAGATGCTGAAGGTGGGGATGCTTATTCTATTTACACATTCTTCTGTCTCCCCAGCGACAGCTGGGCCTTGGAAGGCCTGGACGTTCTCTTTCCCGAGCTAACACAGTGTCTGTGCAAAGCGGATGCTCAGAAATGTTTGCTGGAAATTATCAGAATGTTACACACTCGATAAGCAATGAGTTGACGGCATAATGAGTAATTCCCCTTTCCTTGCTTAAAATTAGTAACAGTTACCATTCGCTGAATAGCTTATACGTGCCAGACGACGTGCTAAAAGCCGCAGGTGAATGCCTGAGCTCACCTGTTCAGACGGGGTTCATCTCACCCGGAAGTGTGACTAAACTGAGAGGGAAGATCCTGTTTCCTCCTTCCTCTTCCCACTGCTGTCCTTCCCCAGGAACAGGACACATACAGGGAGGGGGAGGGGGACGCGTTGTAGCTCGACCTCAGGAATGCATTCTAGAAGGGGCAGCACTGACCGGCGGGGGCAATGAGCTGCCCCTGGAGGACTCTGGGTAGACTTTCCGTTAGCAGGGACGGGAGGTGATGCAGGGGCCGGGGAGGAGCTGTTAATATATAATCCACCAGGACTGGGGAAGTTCCCTAGGCTCCACCAGCAGGCCTGCAAGTCGGGGGAAAGGGTGCAGTTGGCATGAGCAGCGTGAGCGCCTACAACTCCATCTTTCCTTATTTACAAGGAAACTAGAGGCCCGGTGCATGAATTCATGCACAGGTGGGTTCCCTCGGGGTGGCCCGCGGGGATCGGGCCGAAACCCGCAGTCCAACGCCGCCTGCAGCTCCTTCCTGCCGCTCCCACTCATCCCGGCCCCACTGTGCCTGCCGCGGGCTTGCGCCTAATCAGTCCCGATAGGGAGAGGCTCCCACTGTCACAGCAGTGCTCACCAGCCATGAGCCCTGCATCTGGCGCCCTCCCAAGGGGAGTGGCCTGTGGGATCGGGCTGAAACTGGCTCTCAGACATCCCCCGAGGGGTCCTGGATTGCGAGAGCGTGCAGGCCAGGCTGAGGGACCCCATCAGTGCACGATCAGGCCAGGAAGGGACAGCAGGAGGGCTCCGGGGCATGTCCGGCCCATCTCACTCAGTCCCAATCGGCCGGACCCCAGCAGCAAGCTAACCTACCGGTCAGAGCGTCTGCCCCCTGGTGGTCAGTGCACATCAGAGCTACTGGTCGACTAGTCAACTGTCTGCCCCCTGGTGGTCAGTGCACGTCATAGCGAGCAGTTGAGCAGCCTTAGCATATCATTAACATATTATGCTTTGATTGGCTGTTCGGTTCCTCTGCCATTTGGTCTATTTGCATATTACCCTTTTATTATATAAGAAGATGCCTACCTCATTCTCTTCAAATGCCTGCAACCTTGCTTCTTGGAAACACAGAAGAGCTGTGTTACGGTGGCGTGCACCTGGTCTACGGATGCAGGACAGAGTGCACCTTTGGTGCCTAAACATCTGGCAAAGTACAAGACTGGGTAACAGAAGTTCTAGTAGCAAAGACAGTAGCCCCCCACTCCTGTGAGCCTGGGACCCCGTTCCTTGCCACCCCGACAGATGACGGATTTTGGAGGTTATGGTGTCACACTGGGAGGGGGATAAAGCTGTGCTGGGGGTTCTTTGCAAGCACTTAAATCTTAGCCCCAATATCCGCCTCTGAGGCAGGTTTGAGGCCTCACACAACGGTCCTCTTAGCTGCGCTTGCCCTCAGCTCTGCGACTGCTCAGTCATTAAACCGCCCAAGCAGCTGCTGGCCAGGGAACAGCACGTGTAAAGGCCCAGCAGCAGAGAAGGCAAAGGGGAGCGGGAAACTGGGAGACGTTCGGAGTGGCTGGAAGTGGGGGAGCAGAGAGATGCCAAAGTAGAAAAATAAGCAGGACCCACCCAGGAACAGCCCGGTGAAGGCGTGTTTACTTCCGCCGAAGGCCGGCAGGAAGTCACTGAAAGGCTTCCACGGGGGAGGGAGGGGTCGGGTGTGTGCGTTAGAAATCTTGTCTCCATTACGAGCAGATAATGGATGGAGAGGAAGGAGAGGAGGCAAGACCTGGGAAGGAAGGGCACTCAGGAGGCTGCGGCCATAGCCAGACAAGAGAAGCTGGCGGCTGACGGCAGTAGCAGCAGTGGGGTGGGCAGGAGTGGACGGGTTCAGTAAATAATCGGGAGATACAATCATCAGGACTGCCCTGGCCGGTTTGGCTCAGTGGGTAGAGCGTCGGCCTGTGGACTGAAGGGTCCCGGGTTTGATCCCGGTCAAGGGCACGTGCCCGGGTTGTGGGCTCGATCCCCAATAGGGGGCATGCAAGAGGCAGCTGATCAATGATTCTCTCTCATCATTAATGTTTCTGTCTCTCTCTCCCTCTCCATTCCTCTCTGAAATAAATAAAAATATATTTTAAAAAATAATAACATAAAATGAAATCATCAGGACTTGGCAGCAGACCACACGGGGGGATGAGAGAGAGGAGTCGGTGATGATCTCCAGGTTTCTGGCCCGGTCAGCTGGGTGGCGTGCTACCGCGCACTAAGAGACACACGAGTAGGTTCAGGGGGATATGATTCTGTTTGGAACACACTGTATCTGAGATGCCCACAGAGCATCCAGGTAGAGATGTCCAGAAGGGAACGGACAGGCCTGAACGGGAGACCTAAAAGCTTGTTAGCATGAATGAGAATGTGATCATTACTATACAGACCAGAATTGAAGCCACGGGAAATAATAAAACTATTCAGGGGAGCCCTAGCAGGTTGGGCTCAGTGGACAGAGCACTGGCCCCCGGACTGAGGGTCCCGGGTTCGATTCCGGTCAAGGACATGTACCTCAATCCCGGCTCCCTTCCCAGCCCTGGACGGGGCTCGTGTGGGAGACAAACAATCGATGTGTCTCTCTCACATTGATGTTTCTCTCTCTGTCTCTTCCCCTCCCTTCTACTCTCTCTAAAAATCAATGGGAAAAAAATACCCTTGGGTGAGGATTAGCGACAACAAAAAATTATTCGGGGAAAATGGGTAACTCAACCTGTAAGGTTAGGGCAAGAGTTTTTTTTTTATTAAACATATTTTATTGATTTTTTACGGAGAGGAAGGGAGAGGGATAGAGAGTCAGAAACATCAATCAGCTGCCTCCTGCACGCCCCCTATTGGGGAGGTGCCCGCAACCCAGGTACATGCCCTTGACCGGAATTGAACCTGGGACCCTTCAGTCCGCAGGCCAATGCTCTATCCACTGAGCCACACCAGCCTGGGCAGGGCAAGAGTCTTCATACCCTACTAGCTTATTATTATAGCTGACTCTCACGGCTTACAGAGGGCACCCCAAGTCAGGCAATGTGGGTGTCGTGGGATACAAGTAGAACACAAATTTGTCCCGACAGGGAAAGCGACCCCCGAAGACCCAAACATCACCCGCGGCTCAGAGGTCTAAGAACTCATCACAGTCTCCCAGCACCTAGCATGTCAATCCTGGTACCGCGTGCTCACCTGTCGACAAGGCCTCCTCCCGAGCCTCGTCCTCACCGGGCTGATGAATATTCCAGGACGTTTTGGGAAGCACAGCAATCTCCTCGGGCGATGCCAACCTCACCATGTCCATGTGGCTGCTCTGGAACCGGTACCGGGGGATGAAGCAGGTCTTGCCGCGGCGGAAGATGTCCTTGATGATCTCGTCGGTCTCGATTTCGTCCTGCATGCTCAGGAAGATGGAGATTCGCTGGGACTTCTGGTACTGACTGTGCGCGATCACCTGCGTGGGAAACCAAGGCCATGGTGTTTGCCAAGATTACACTTAAAAATCAGTGACTCCCCTTAACAGTTTCAACATTTTCTCCCATGTTCTTCAACTTCTTTCTTTTTTTAAAATATATTTTATTGATTTTTTACAGGGAGGAAGGGAGAGGCATAGAGAGCCAGAAACATTGATGAGAAAGAAACATCGATCTGGTGCCTTCTGCACATCTCCTACTAGGGATGTGCCTACAACCAAGGTACATGCCCTTGACCGGAATCGAACCGGGGACCCTTCAGTCCGCAGGCCGGCGCTCTATCCACTGAGCCAAACCGATCAGGGCTTCTTCAACTTCTTTATCCAAAAACAAAAGCAGAGCGCTACAGTGGGGTCCTGAACCCTAAATTTTGGCTCTCAACCCAACACTTACTTTTCTCATCTCTTCACACCTCTCTGGCTCACCTACTTTCGTAGGTATGAAAACTCATTATAAAGTCACTGTGGGGCCTGGCCGGTGTGGCTCAGTGGTTGAGCATTGACCTATGAACCAGGAGGTCACAGTTGATTCCAGGTCAAGTGCACATGCCTGGGTTGCCAGCTTGATCCCCTGTGGGGGGGCCTGCAGGAGGCATCCAATCAATGATTCTCTCTCATCACTGATGTTTCTATCTCTCTCTCCCTCTCCCTTCCTCTCTAAAATCAATAAAAGTATTGATTAAAAAAATAATAAAAATAATAAATAATAAAAATAAGTCACCGTGGGACCCTGCTGTTCATTGAGAGAACTCCAGGCTGGATCTCCACCGGCCCATTCTTCTCGCACACTTGCCCTCGAGTCTCTGCATCATTTTAACCCCGAACCTTGGCTCCCACAACTTCTTCAGCCTGTGCCTTGTCGGGTGTCGCTCCTAAATTCTCCCCATTTATTTTTTTTAAATACATTTTTATTGACTTCAGGGAGGAAGGGAGAGGGAAAGATAGAAACATCCAAGATGAGAGAGAATCACTGATTGGCTGCCTCTTGCATGCCCCCTACTGGGGATCGAGCCCGAAACCCAGGCATGTGCCTTTGACCGGAATCGAACCCGGGACCTTTCAGTCCACAGGCTGACGCTGAAGCACTGAGCCAAACCAGCGAGGGCTAAATTCTCCCCATTTAAGCCCAACCCAATCCCTAACCTTTCCTGACTTCTGTCCAGCCCTTCCACCCACAGGTAACATGTGCTTTTCACATGCATGCATTGTCAGGAGCTGATGACTATTTCTTGTGCCCTCGCTGTAGGATTCTAACCGGTCTGCCAGCTCCCAGGAGGCAGGGAACCTGCCTTATAATCCCCTCAGCTCTCACTTCCTTCCTGTTTCCTAAAACTCTTCTGTTCAAATGAACGTGAAAAATGTTCACCGAGATGGGGGTGGGGGTCCTGGGAGAGGCAAAGTCCCCCTACAAGCAAGTGCCACGTTCATGAGAAGGCAGACACGGGTGGGAGAATTCCCTCCATATTCAGTTTATTTATTTTTAATATATTTTATTGATTTTTTACAGAGAGGGAGAGGGATAGAGAGCTAGAAACATCGATGAGAGAGAAACACCGATCAGCTGCCTCCTGCACACTCCCTACTGGGGATGTGCCCGCAACCCAGGTACATGTCCTTGACCAGAATCGAACCCGGGACCCTTCAGTCCGCAGGCCGACGCTCTATCCACTGAGCCACACCGGCTAGGGCCTCCATATTCAGTTTAATTGATCATCGGGCAGGAGAAGGGGGCTGAGCTCTGCTTCACGGAAAAGTTAATCTCAGGCCCTAACCGGTTTGGCTCAGTGGATAGAGCGTCGGCCTGTGGACTGAAGGGTCCCAGGTTCGATTCCGGCCAAGGGCATGTACCTTGGTTGCGGGCACATCCCCAGTAGGAGGCGTGCAGGAGGCAGCTGATCGATGTTTCTAACTCTCTATTCCTCTCCCTTCCTCTCTGTAAAAAAATCAATAATATATATATATTTTTAAAAAGTTAATCTCAGAACTTCCCCAGACTCAGAGGTAGCTCTTAGCTCCCTTTCTTTCCCTCCTTTTTCTGTTCTCCCTGGTTCTGCAAGCTAAGGAGAAAAAGACACCGCAAACGTGGCTTATAGGGATGACTGGTAGCAAGACACGGGTTCAGAAAGGCAAGTTTTCCTGATAAAAGGGGGACACACAGAAGTTAAATAAGCAGAGCACCCCAAACCCTGGCTAAGGAAGGAAATCAACTCCATCGTCTGAGAAGCTACAAAGCTTTTAGGCTGAAACAGGCAAAGCAACTGTAAAAGAAATTCAGACCTAGGACGGCAGACTGGGAGGTTGTGGCACCCAGGAACACCCGAGAAAGTTACGCGCCTTTTTTGTGCTCTTAAAGGCAAATGTAGAAAATCAAGAGCTGAATACGTAGTCATGAACATCAGTTAAAATTCAGTGGGAGTTCTGGCTTGTGTGGGTCCGTGGATAGAGCGTCGGCCTGCAGACTGAAGGGTCCCGGGTTCGATTCCTGGTCAGGGCACATGCCCGGGTTGTGGGCTCGATCCCCAGTAGAGGGCGTGCAGGAGGCAGCTGGCCCATGATTTGCTCTCATCATTGATGTTTCTCTCTTGTTCCCTCTCCCTTCCTCTCTGAAATCAATAAAAGTATATTTTTAAAAAAAAGAAATTCTTATGGCCTAATTCCAGGGGACATCCAGGAAAAGAACACCCCTGCTAGTCTCTTAGCATGGCACTGGTGTCTCCGTCAGACAGGATGTTCGGGCCGTCACACCATTGCTTTATCTGAAAACAAACCTACTGAACTATGAATGGTGCCAGGTGGTTGTAGACTTACGGGGTGAGCCCTTCACAAGTCATATAACGTCTATATAAACTGTGTTATACACCTGAAAAGAATATAAACTAGTGGCCCGGTGCACAAATTCGTGCTCATTGAAAGGAAATTAATTAGAAGAAATATTTAATACTAAATATTTTAATACTACGAAAATTTGTGCACTCAGGGGGGTCCCTGAGCCCAGCCTGCACCCTCTTGCAGTCGGGGACCCTTCGGGGGATGTCCACCTGCTGAGGCACACTCCCTGGGGGATCGAGCCTAAGCTGGCAGTCAGACATCCCTCTGGCAGCCCGGGAGCCCTCCTCCTTAGTGCTGCAGAGGAGGCGGGAGAGACTCCCACCACGGCCGCTGCGCTGGCCAGCAGTGAGCCAGCTTCTGGCTTAGCGGCGCTCCCCCTGTGGAAGCGCACTGACCACCAGGGGGCAGTTCCAGCATTGACCGGCTGCCCCCTGGTGGTCAGTGCTCATCATAGCGGCCAGTCATTCTGCTGTTAGGGTCAATTTGCATATTAGCCTTTTATTATATAGGATTGCTATTCGCCCTTTATAATAGAAGCGTCAACCAAATTCATGATCAACCATGACAGATGGAAACACAGGCGTGCGGTTGGCACCAGCGAGAGCTTTAATATGTATTGCACATTCGCGAGTCGACATAGCCTTTTATAGATATAGATAAACTTGCTTAATTTGACCTGCTTTCTGATGTAGCTAAACTTTTTCCAGCCCAGTGAGGCACCCCAACTTCTCTTTCAGGTAATTGTCAGCAACACAGCAGTAAATACCAACATGAAGCAGATTATTATTGTAGATCATGCAGCGGGAACAAAGGGTAAAATATTTAACTGCAGCCGTGTCTGACTATAATCTTCGCAGTGAGAAAACCATAAGTTATTTTCAATGTCCACCATTTCTTACTTTTGTTCAGTCAGGTCAAGTTCCTAAGCTTTCTAAATCTGTTTCCCAGCTAATGGAAAGACAATAGGGTTCCACCGAGTCTCCTACCTACCTGCTCCATGAGGATCACATGAGAGGAGGCAGGGAAAGCGCTTCACAGACATTTGGTTAAAGTGTGAAATGTGTGCACCTGGCTATGAAGCAAGTTGGGTTCCTGGGCTGACAAAACTGCAAGGAGGCTAGTCGCCAGGGAGAGGAAGCCGGGCGTTGCTACGTGATGTCATTACCCGGACGAACACTTAGCATATTAGCCTTTTATATATATAGATGGTCTGTCGCTAGGGAGGGGAAGCCGGGCGTTGCTATGTGATGTCATTACCCAACACCCACAGCCACCGTTTTCAGGCTGACCATGGGGTCTTGGTGGCATTAGCTGAGATTGGTTGGGCCATCACTCCGGGGCGGTGGTGGGGCCTGTGTCCCACTGGGGGGGGGGG